TGCGCTTTGATTTTGTATGAATGAATTAATAAAGGTTTCGGCAATGCATATCATCTTTCCTTCCTGGCCAGGCATTTGGTCCAGAGAGACAATATTACATTCGTTTTTTCATCCCTTTGACTCCTAGTTTTGTGCTCCTGTCAGTCTAATGACAGTCATGTTGTTCCTGAAGGAAGGAAAAGGTGGCTGTTTCCTGAGACCTCCAATCTGCCATCAATCCTTGTGGTCCGGATACAGAAGGCAGGTGTGCCTGGCATTCCAGAAACCCAGCTGCCATGCCTAGCAAGCAGCACATAGTCCAGGGAGATATGCAATCAATATCGTTGTATAATTTTTTTGGGATTGGAGTGCATTTACATTTTAGCTCTTATAAACAGCTGACCTCCTTATTTCCCTGGTCATGTTGAGCAAAGTTCTATTACTAATAATTCTTTTATTTTTATTTAAGTAGTTTATACCATAAAGCACCACCAGTTTTTTTTAAGCTTTGTAGTGCTAAATGCCAGCAGATTTAATCCCTTTATTTGTAAATTGCATGGCTGCGAAAAGCTTTCAGAAGTTTACAGTTTCACCAACCGTTGGGGTGATTGCAAAGCCAAATGATGGTGTCATGCTCCCTCTATTGGGTTCTCCATAATGTAAACAAATAATCGGTGAGCACATATACGCAAGAGTAACATCTTCGTTATGTCCTTGTTGGAGGATGCACAAATGTTAGCATTGGACTCTTAAGAGCTAAAACAAAATGTCACTTGTGAATGGAGTTGGCCTTTAAACTTTAACTATTGGTACACCTTTTTTTGAATTTTTAGTTTTCTCTTATGATACAAGAATACATTTTTCAATGTACTCCTGTAATAAAAATTGTGCCATAAGCTTACAATTCAGTGTAATATACAGTGGACAGGGCTAAGCTCTGTGCTGAGAAGTGATCCTGAACATTACTGGAAACTAAAAATGCAAAATAAGGTGTAACCCATAGTTCTCCTTTAAAGCCTGTAACATGTTCACTAGTAATGCCTCCACTTCTGTGACTGCCACCTTGACTCATTATCCTGACTAGAGTCATGCAGGCTGCCTGAATAGACTGACAGAGTGGAGTGATTAGCATCACTGATGCCACATCATAGAAAGCTGTTATCGGCCCCCAATCAGCTTCTCTGTTTCATTTGCAAAGCTTAACTGAACAAACTGAAGAGAGAAGCTGACTGGTTACTTTGGGCAACTGCTCCACATTCCGTCTGCCACAGGAGCAACATAGACAGTGTCCTATTTTAAAACCCATAGTAGATTTTATTTATTAAAGTGACATTAAAGTCAAAAATTCCCCCCCATGCTGCTTTAGGACAGGTTCACACCATTTTCCGGACCAGATCCGGTCCAGAAAATGGTGTTAACCTGCCACAGTTCCAGTGCCTTCCAGACTAGACGAAATGAGACATGCAGTATTTTTCTGGTCTGGTCTGGAACGGACTGCGCTGGTGTGAACAGAGGCCAGAAATAGCATAGGCATACATTAAGATGCATTTTGGGTCCGGAAACCACCTGGTCTGGTCTGCAGATGATCTGGATGTGGTGTGAATGGGCCCTTAGGCCTGGTTCACACCTAGGAGATTTTGAACAGTTCAAAAAGCACTTTTAAATGCCCAACAGAAATCCCATGATTTTCAATGGCCCTGGTTCACACCTGAGCAGAAAACCTCCAGCAGAAAAACACCAAATGTCCAAAAAGGTACAGGAGCTTCTTTGGGCAGTTAAAAGCGTTTTTTACCCAATAGACTTCATTGGAAATGGCCAAAAACGTACGACAAAAACATGTTGCACATTTCTGTGAGCGTTTATACGCGTGTTCTTCCACTGCCGACAATGTTTTATGAGCTGCCAATCAAAACGCGCGTCTTCATGTATGCATGTTAAAGCGCGCATACAAATGTGCACAGCACACAACTAACCGCATGCTGTTAACATGCTTTAACGGTGCCGCCTAGGTGTGAACCAGGCCTAAAGCACTTGCTTCAAGTGATCCCTCTTGATCTGAACATCATCTTCCTTCCAGTCGTTTTGAGCCAGCGCTGGTGCCAGTCTCTGATCCAGTGCAAACTGCTGTCTCTTCCTGTCTCCACTGCGCATGCGCCTGCACACATCCTCCTGCACGGTCACTCTAGAAGCTGGATTCTGCAGCCAAGAGCGAGCGGCGGAAGCAGAGGTAAGTTTTCACCTATTTGGTAACTTTTTATTTTTTATGTTTTGCATATATCTACTGCTTGCTAGCAGAAGATATATGTAAAAAATTGAGACTTAAAGGTGAACTATGGGGTCAGTGTTTTTCTCCATAGTTCTCCTTGGGGTAACGGGAGGACACAAACTAGCGTCCTCCCGTTACCCTAAGCTAAGTATACCGCGAGCTACAGCTCGCGGTATACTGAGACGCCGCACCTGGAGCGAATCCCGACTTAGATGACGGGATCCGCCCAGCTGCGTGAGAAAAATCCTAAAACGTTGGATAGGTTGCTATGTCTACAGTAACTTTTCTACTACCTTCGTATAAGTTTCACGATGTTTTGCATTCAATATTCCTAGATACTCAGATTGAAGATAAAGTATAAATAAATAATCTTAGTCGTTATCTAGAGTCACATTAGAGTCCATCAGCAAAACATTTCTCCCTCATGACGCCTATGAGGCAGAATGGAATGTCATGTGTGTCCTGTTAGCGTGGCTTGATGGAGTTTCTTTCATTGTACAGCATTGTAAACAGTAATATTGGCTTCACTCTGTGTCATTGTATTTAAAGCAAACATTAATCACTATTGGTTTCTTGGGATTGTCATGACTGTGGACAAGTACAAGGGCTGTACAAGCCATGTTCCTGTCAGTGATAGGATCCAGAGTGAGCCAGAGGACGTGGGTTGGGCAATGTGCCGTGGAATGTAGGGCAGGGCCTCCCCACACACTCATATCTCACTGAGGAGGAGCCGCAAGAGGAAATGGAAACCAAGACTTCGTTCACATGTTTAACCAGTTCATGAGCTGACAATCAGCTTTATAAGGCTTCTTCTTTGCGCCTTCATTACTCCTGGCAGTGCAGGTTACATATTTTAAAAGCTATTTGCAGATGTTGTATATCAGTTTTGTGTGGATGTTACTGAGCTGAAACACTTCAACACAATTTATTGGTTGTCATTGAATAAACCATACATAATCACTACTGATTTGGTGTGGTTCAGTCTGGTCGGTTTAAACTTACCAATGAAGGGACAGGTGATAAGTGGGTTGGTGGTGGTCCTTGTCAAAGAACAGCCAATGTGTCCAAAACAGTGTAATGTTCTTGAGCTTTATGTCTTGGTAATAGAGTCCTAGCTCCTAAAATTGCTTGTTGACCCCTAAAATGGACTGACTGGGTCCTAAATTCTGCAGAAAAGTTTCCAAGACCCTACATTCCATGGCACATCAATTGCTTTATCAACTCAACACACATAAATACCCACCTCCCTTGTTGATCAATTTTTAATATCAATTGAAAATTCATTTGAATCACTTTTTTCTGTAATTGATAAGTACATATGGTCAGTTTTCTGACATGAAATACAGGCTCTACATGCAAATCGCTGAAAATCAATCCATAAGTTTCTGGACCAGACAATTGATGTGTCGAAGGTCACAAAAATATACCCTCTTGGTTAATGGTTGGGCATTATGTTTTACACACTTGATTGGCGCTTCAAATTGTTTAGTTAGATCAGCAGATCAAAAAATGATATTTATACACTTTTGGCCACCATAAGGCACTCCAGCAATGTGATATCTTGCCTGTGTTCCTGTCTTTGCCCATTCCGAAAACATTACTGAATCAAGTTGTGTAATCTCACACCGGCTACTCTTTGTAACATAGAATACAAGAATTGACAAGGAATCATACGCAAACTGTGAAACTCCCTGGTATTGGACTCTAAAAATAGATGCAGCCCGGAACGTAGTTGCATGACTGCTGTTGTTCCAGTTACAGGAAGTTATTAAGTGACTAAAGCCATCAGGGCGCAATGTGTGGCAAGGCATTCTAGTATTTAATTCACATTTAAGCTTCTGGGTGACTCTGTTAAATTTTGGGTGAACTGATCCTCAAAGAGGACCTTTTAATATATAAAAAATGACCATAGTTTCTGCTGTCATTCACTTCCCTTTGCGAATTGTATTCTGGAGCAGCCATACTTGATTATTTTCAGGCTGCATAATTTCCTAACTGCCATCTATGACATGAGAGATCTGTAGAGGAGAGGAGAAAAAACTGCCAACAGACTTTATAGTTTAGGACAATTGTCATCACTGATTTTTCCAAATGTAGCAATAATAGGACCTGCTAGAAATGCAATGGTATGGGAATGTAACTCTTCCCATAAGTCGTAAATTACCAGATTTATGGCATCATTTTTCTGTACCTAGTTTTTGTAAGCCTCTATTACAGTGACACTAAACTCAGGAGTTAAAACTTAAACATACATTCAATCACCTTGACTGTTAACAATACTGTACCTTATGTGTGCATCAGTCAGATGTAGATCCTCAAATCATCGCTGAATTGGTGCTGACACTGTCTTTCCTTCCGTAGGGTGGCTACATGGTCCCCGTGTGTTTTGCAATGTATAAACCATTCCAAGCTCACCCCCTGCGATGGACTAAAATCTCAATACCACTTAGTAAGCTAAACATGAGATTGTAGTCCATCATGGGAGCGAGCTTGCAGCGGTGGCTACTTTACATAACACACAGGGACCATACGGGAACAAAAGTAGCCACCCTCCAGAAGACACCCTCCAGTGTCAGCATGAATTCAGAGATGATTTGATGATCTACAGCTGAGTCATACACAAATAAGATACATTTTTGTTATTAGTTAAGGTAGTTGAATGCATTTTTAAGATTTAACTCCTGAGTTTAGTGTCAGTTTAAGTGATCAGTATGTATTTAGCAATATTAATGTGTCTTTTTGTTTCTTTTCCTAGATATGGCAAGATTGTTTCCACAAAAGCTATCTTGGATAAAACAACAAACAAATGTAAAGGTATGTTTCCAGAATGACAACATTTTTTAATTTTCACCCTAAATTCTAGTGTTCACTGTTTACATTGGATGCCTGCATTAAAGAGAAACTTCGTGTGCAAGGTTCTAAATGTTCCAACATCACTCTGTGCTGTGCAACTCTCCCTCATTCTCTTTCTTTCTCTCTCTCTCTCTCTCTCTCTCTTTCACCCTCTTTCATTTTCTCGACAACTAGAGGCATACAGTGTGGTTGGGAATTTCCATAAGTCAAGTGCCTTTGCGCAAAGCCAGAGCTGATCTAAACACCATGTCAGTCCCATGCAGGCTGAAGAAGCCTTTGTATCTAATAAATATATTGCATTCATTTACCATTTTCCTGTGCAAGATTTAAAGCCCAAGGGAACCCTTACTTTTTATCACTGTAATGCAGTCGGGCTACATATATAGTAACAAATATACTGGTCTTTATTGTTTTTTTTTTTTAACACTGAGTGCTACAGCAAGGGCCAAAATACCTTGTGCTAGCAGCACGTTGGGGAGTCAGACCACTTCTCACACAAACAAGCAGCTGCAGGGGTCTTTAGCAGTTTGAAACGCCCATCTGCATACTACTCCAGTCAACAGAGCTTCTCTCTTTGAGCATTGTGATGGCAGGTATGTTGGACTCCTGTAGACCTTGGCAGCTGTTTTGTGTGTGAGAGCAGCAGTCCGACCCTTCAACATGCTGCCAGCACAAGGTAGCTGCAGCATTTAGTATTAAGAAATGTAAAAGGCCATCATATGTATTACTGTGTATATAGCCTGAATATATAGCCTATATATAGCCTACAGTAATAGCAAGGGTTCAGTTTGGATTTAAAGTGGAATTGCTAAATGACAGTTAAAATACTTATTAGTGATCTGTTGTACCTGCCAAAGGGTTTGCAATTCTGTTCATCCACTTTGAGATCCTCTCAGTGTAGCTAAACAGTATAGCCAAGTCCCTCAGTTTTCTCCACTGCAGTTAAAGTAACATAGCTTGGCCATGAATCTGGCTGAGCTTTTGATTGCATAGTGTGAAAACAGCAAAACACTGTCGATGCCACCCCTACACCCTCTCCTATCAGCATGATCTCTGTAATAGCCTACTCTATACAATAAATACATTTTTTTAAAATATAAATGCAGCCAATTCCTGCCTACGTGGGTAAACTCCAGTGGTGGCTGCATGGTTTTCTCAAGTAATATGTGTTGAACTGGCTACTTGTAGTCCCCATCAGAAACCTGTGTGACAAGGTGACGACTCTGGAGCACAGTTGGGAGACAGGGACAGAACGTTGTCACCATACAAACCCTAAAAACGACCTTCTTGCCCAGATCTCCAGGTAATGTTTTAATAAAAGCTGCAGGTTTACAAACATTGAATATGACTTTTGAGATTTTATTGACCGAGTTCAGTTCAACTCAGTTTTTACTGGAATGTGTCATTTCACTGGAAGTATAGAGCCGAACGTATCTTTTGTGGCCTTAAACGTAGCACACACATTGCAGTATGATTGTATAATCTCCTTTAGACCTACCAATAGGTGTGTAGTGCCAGAGCCTGTCTGATTGGATGTAAATTGATTCAATAGATTAGATATGAGTATGGGGACACCACAGATGTTACAATATGACCATACAGTCTTTGTACAATCAATTTTAAATGTGCCAAAACAATGTAATTTGAAGCCCTACCTAATTTAACAAATCAATTTGTATCCAGTTAGGCTTGCCCTTGCACTACATAGTTGCTGGTAGGGCTAGAGTAGATTGTACAATCAGATTGTAACGTGTGTGGTAGGATCAAGCCCTCCGGATTAGAGCTGCAGCTAACGATTATTTTCAAAATCGATTAGTTAGCCGATTATTAAGTCCGATTAATCGGTTAATCGGATAAAAAATAAAAAAATTTTTTTTTAAATAGCTCCAGTGATGGGTCTACTAGTTTGTATTGAGATTGCAGTCCATAACAGGAGCAAGCTTGGAGGGGTGGAAGTAAAAGAGAAAAAAAAATAGTGTGGTGTGCAATATAGTGAAATGAAAAGTGTAAAATTATACAGCAATGAATGCAGAATGGCGTAGGCTCTAGAGGACTACAAATCCCAGTAATACATTATACAGCACAATACAGAATACCACCAGCTATAGAGGAGTACAGCAAATCCCAGCAATAGCACATTATAGCTGGTGGTATTCCGCATTGCGCTGTATAATGTATTATTGCTGGGATTTGTAGTCCTCTATACAGCGCAATGCAGAATACCACCAGCTATAGAGTACAACAAATCCCAGCAATAGTACAATATACAGCGCAATGCAGAATACCACCAGCTATATAGGAATACAACAAATCTCAGCAATACATTATACATACAGTGTATAATGTATTGCTGGGATTTGTATTCCCATGTATAATATACAGCACAATGTACCATCAGCTATAGAGGAATACAAATCCTAGCAATACATTATAGAGTACCATGTGGGGGGGGAGGGAAAAGTAGGCTTACTTGAGCAGTCTTCCAGCAACTTGCTTCTGAGATCGGGCCTGTCTATTGGCGGCTGCCATCTGCCCACCCCTGCTCCTCCTTACTTCTTCTCTCCGCGTCCGTGTGCCAATCGTGGATTTGGGCGGGCGAATCTGGCAGCGGCGAGCGTGAGGTGGGGAGGTGGTGTGGCGCGCAGCGTGTGTGGAGCCGTGAACAGGGCCAACCAATAGGAATCCGATTAATCGATGATTGAAAAAGTTGACAACTTTTTCAATAATCGATTATAATCGATTATGTCGATTAGTTGTTGCAGCCCTACTCCGGATACATACAAAATATAGGTCACATTAAGGTGGAAAAAAATTCAGAAGTGATTTATCCTGGTCTGATTTTTTTTTTTACATCTCCAAAACCTGGCATTTTTGCAGGGTTGTTTAGACTTTTTATATCCACTGTAGTTATGGACGATCTCCATGTAATTGTATTGAGATTCTAAGGTTGGATTGTAACATGTATGGGGGGAACCTTAGATGGCCCAATCATTCTAAGCAATGCTCGCAGACCGAAGCATAGTCTAGTGAAGGGTTTCTGAACCCTGTGAGAGTGATAATTGGCCCCTCGGGCACTTGTTGGCCCTTGTCATCCCTGTGAGCAGCTGGGGTACAACAGAAGAAAGAGTCCAACTACTGCCTGCGCGGTTGAGGAATAGAGGGGGGGTGGAGCTCTGGCACAAAGGACAGGCAAATATCAGCCCACCGGCTGTTCAGTATCAGTCTGTATTGGCCACAAAATATTAGGCACGGCAGATCAAATAAAAACTGCAGCACAGGAACAACAAAACTGGCTGTTTATGAAGAAATAAAAGGTCTATGTAATAAAATGTGGCCACAGGTGTTTGTCTGGAGACTGTGCCAGGTGATGCAGAAGCACAGAGCTAATACAGAAACGACCCATTTACACTTATGAAGGGCCGCCGGCCAACCCACCTGCGAATGTAATGCTGATAAAACATGTATGTGCAGAAAAGCTGTGAAATTGGCATAAATCTGGCCCTGAATTTTGATCTTGCTTCCAAAACCAGGTGTGCACAGAGAGGTATTGATCCCCTCCAAGAAATGATAGATTGTGCATTTAGCAACAGGACATGTTGATGTTGCCCATAGCGACCAAGCAGAATCCATCTCTGAAAATCAAAGTTAAGATATTTTTTCATCCTTGGGGAGGATACCCTTAGTTTGGTGCTCCATGTACAGTATATTCCAGCCAGATGGGGGTTATACTTCCATAACTTTAGATTATGTGAGTAAAATTCCCCATTTCACTTGATAGTATCACTCTTAATGTACAACACTAAAAACTTACAGGTCTCCTGTTAAAAAAAGAAAAAACGGACGGGTCTCAACAGCATAAAATATGACGTAGTAGTACTTGACTCATGTTTTCCGCCAAATCATGTAAAGCAATTACATGGCAGATATACTTATGCAGGGCCGGTGCTAGGTTTCCTGCCTACACAGGCAAGGTGGATTTTGCCCTGATGTTTGTGTTATGTTTTGTTGTTTTTTAACTTACCTTCGGCGCGGGAGAGCAGCGGCGAGTCAGCGCTGGTAAGGTGGGAGGAGCTCCAGGTGGGGTCCTAATTTAGCTGGCTGGAGACTGCCTGAGGTGCCGCGCGTGTCGGGATCCTCAGGCAAAACAGTAGAAAGGCATCATGGCACACTCACAAACCAGCATGTAAAACAACTTGTCTCACCACTAACGATAATAACAGAGGTTTGGATACACGTCTTCTGCAGAGCCCATTTCGTGTGCACCTTACTGTATAACTGGTGACAAATTGTTGAGTGCGTTGGTCTTTTGTTTTGTTTTGCGGGATCCTCAGGCAGTCGCCGGCCAGCTAAATTAGGACCCCACCTGGAGCTCCTCCCACCAGACCAGCGCTGACTCGACGCTGCTCTCCCGCACCGAAGGTAAGTGAAAAAAAAAAAAAACATAGCGCAAACATCGGGGCATTTTGACAAGTACAAGTACTTGTAAAAATGGGCAGTTTTTTTCTGCCCTCACCCTGCAGCGCCGTAAGGCGGCCACCTGACTTGCCTTGTGGTAGCGCTGGGCCTGTACTTATGTTGAAAATGTCACATGCCACCTAAAAGTTGATATCAGGCTTGCAGTGACAGGGTGAGCTGATTAACTATTAACAAAAATGTATCTTATCTGTTTATCATTTTGGCTGTAGAACCTTAAATCATCTCTGACTTGATGTGGACACTGTCCTTCCTTCTGGAGGGGGTACTTTTGTTCCCCATGGTTCCTGCGTGTGTTGTAGAGTAAACTAAATGTGAGATTGTAGTCCATCCCGGGAGTGAGCTTGGAGTGGTCGTTCACACGTCATTATGACCACGAGAGCCGTGGAGTATGGGGAACTTCCTGAGCTCCTGGACTCAATCTAGTGGTCGTAATGCGGTGCAAAAGAGATTAACTTAGCTATAAGCTTGTCGGATGTTTTATACAT